TAGGGCAAGAATGTGGTATTTTGCAATTTATCAAATATGTATATCTATATACTATATTTGAAATTCGAGAAATCTCCTCTTGTTTTTTCATCGAAGGGAAAATGCGGATAAAGCTCAGTTGTGTGAAGAACTGCATCAACAGCTTTCATAGCGCTTCATTCGCGAAAGCAATAAGCATTCTCATCGCGCGATCTGGTTCTGAACGAAACAGCAGCATATCCTTAATTTTACGAGACCTAAAGTCGCATAGCGTTAGAACAAGACGTTATTAAGTTTTTAGTAGTTGGTCTAAGCAACCTATGAATTATGTAGTATTCTAATTTCAGACAACCTCCTCATGTGCAACCGCTCTACGTTCATTCATACACCTCGATATCAAATACTATGTCAACTTGGTGCCAATATGAAGCACTTAAATACGTCTCTTTTCCCACTCAGGTAAGACGTTTTTTTTTTAATTTGAAATATGACTATGTGATAATTTTTAAGACAATTTGCAAAACTTCCAAAGTGGTAGTGACGATGTTGATGGGCTTGGTATTACGCGGTCAGAGTTACTCATGGCAAGAATGGGGTTGTGGTGGGGCTGTAGGTTTGGGTGCCAGCCTTTTCCTTCTGAGCAGCGGTCGCAGCCGTGCTGAAGGCGTCGTGACATCGGTATGCTTTTCTACTCTTGCAGGACATACATAAGGACCTAAGCAACATTTGTTTTAGGTTTCTGGCATCCTCCTAATGGCTGGGTATTTGCTGTTTGATTCTTATACTTTGAATTATCAAAAGAAACTTTTTGACAAAAAGCCGAAGATTTCGAAATACCAGGTATCTTTTGGTATTGATTGTATATGATGTCTGTGAAGAATGCATAGGAAAAGTAAAAGTCCATCTTTCTTAAAATGCTTATGATCTTATCTGCTTGTTGCTCTCCATTTTGGGAGTATAGATTATTGAGTAAAATAACCGTTAAAATCCAGCCGCTATATTCCCTGGCTCCACAGCTTTACATTGAAGGAGTAGTACAAAATTAAGAACATTGGATTCT